GGGCCACGGTAAAATTATCAAAGGCTGACTGGTCCGCGGCAATAAAAAGGTTGGGGACCACTGCCCTAAGTCAAACACCAAATACATAGATAAAGCCTATGATTCTATAGGAATGCTGGATTCACCTTGATTTTCTTCTACAATCCGAGCTACTTCTGGCAAGGCTTTGATTTCTTTGCCCTGGGTGGACCTCTTCCAAATTTACTTTATTTTAATTTATAAATCAATGACGGTATTCTACCTCTTATTCTGTTAGTTCTGATCTTGGCTGTTGTTTTTTCCAGAACTGCTGCATTTTTGGTTATCCTTTTCTCATTATACTTGATCTGTAATAGCAAATAAGCAAATAATAGAAAACAAATTTCTTTGTATATCTGTGATGAGTAAACAGTTTTTCTTCCAGTAGTCCTGCATCTGTTGGCCCTGGTTGTTCAACTAACAGAGCTAAATAATATAATGCACCTGAGTTCCAAAGAAAACCCCTTCCCATCTTGCAAATCATTTGCAGACAGACAAATCAACTAGATTCCTCTAACTTCCCAGCCCTAATATTTGAGGGAAAAGCCGTGTGCCTATGAAGCCTTCTAGAAGGCTAACAAGGAAGGGAACAATTTGTATAAAGCAAGGAAAGGAAGGAAGGACGGAAGGAAGGAAGGAAGGAAGGAAGGAAGGAAGGAAGGAAGGAAGGAAGGAAGAAAGGAAGGAAGGAAGGTTTTGACAACATACTTTTCCTACCCATCTCATGGAACAAAACTGTTCTTTCATTTTTTCTTTATCCTGCAGGATCATTGAGCTGAATGGACACAAGCCACCCCTCACTTACAAACGTTTTCAGGCCATCATTAGTCGCATGGACCTGCCAAAAAAGCCAGTCAGTACCATAACAAGCCAACAAATGGAGATGTGCAAGACCGAGATCCAAGAGAACCACGATGAAACCTATGGAGTGCCATCTCTAGAGGAACTAGGTAATTTTGGTGGGTTTGGAACACTTCCTAGATGGGCTGTAGTGCCTTTCATATTTAATCTGATCTGGTTTTGGTTTCAAACCAATGTTTGCATTATATATATATTCTGAAGTTTAGAAAATGAACAGATCAGCTTCCATTGATTGATTATATGATATAAAATATAATCCAGTGTTTCTCAACCTTGGCAACTTGAAGATGTCTGGACGTCAACTCCCAGAATTCCCCAGCCAAGTTGCCAAGGTTGAGAAACACTGATATAATCCATGTTAACTCTTGCATGTTGCTCTGATTTCCATTTTGTGATTATATAACATTTCAAAGAACTTTTAATATTACTTTGTTCTCCAGTTGTTAAAATATTATTTAGGGAACCATAAGTTTCTAGCATGCTTGACTTAACTATAATTCCTTTTTATTTGAAGTTCAAAAGGTAGTTAATTGTCAGCTAATCTTCTGACCATAATACAAAAATTGATATGGTTCCGAGCCATTGCTGTTATTAATAAAAACCTTCTCTTTATTATCTTGCCATTATATCTGGATCTATAGAAAAGTTGAGAATAGAATGCCATACAGTATAATATTATTATATGGCAATCAGCAGATGGTTAATATGTAGTCTCTGATTATAAAGTGACTTCTGATTACTCTAGTTATAAATGCATTTATATTTTATCCTATTTCTTTAAAGTTACATCATAATTTCCTTCTTTTTATTTCTAATTCTAATTCCAATTCTTTTTCTAATCTTCCAAGCCATAAATCACAACTACATTTTTCTCTCTTTTTTAAGCAAACAGTCCATATGGAGTTTTTAGTCACTGATAAATGTAATTGTTGATTTTTCTGGAAACAAACAAATTAATTTTTCTTCTCTGCTAGGTATTTTCTAATTAGCTATTCATTAATCCAGCAAGAAAAGATTTGGTTTCAGTTGAAAGTTGATCTTTACAATTCTTTTTATTAATGTATGTATTTGCACCCAGATAATTTCTGGCTATTTTTACAGTCCCTAATTACCATTATTAAACCAGGACTTTCTATGGGACTGTTGCCATTTCAATTCCTAACCCCCTACCTTTTTTTCAATAAAAGCTTTTTTTAAAACTGTAAAATAAAAGGATTTTCTCGATTGTAGAAAATATTATTTCAGCAACAGAGTGATCAATGCCTGGAATGCACTACCCAACTCTTTTGTTACATCCTCAAACCCCCAAAACTTTAAGCTTAAACTGTCTAGCATGGATCTCATTCCTTTCCTAAGAGGTCTGTAATAGCAGTAGCAATAGCAGTTAGACTTATATACCGCTTCATAGGGCTTTCAGCCCTCTCTAAGCGGTTTACAGAGTCAGCCTATTGCCCCCAACAATCCGGG